GCAATTCACCACAGTCAGCTTTTGTTGCCACTGCCTGCAGATATTCACCGAAGCAGTCTTGAGACTTAGGTGGAACTAACCAGGATCTGGTATTTCTTACAACCCAGAAGATTGTTTTACGATCTGACCAAAAGTTTCGAGCCCTTGTGATACATCTCCATGTATGAGAAGACAAAGCCTTCAAGGAAGAAATCTCACTGGTATTTCTTCAGCATTTGCTTTTGCTTTTAGTTTTGCCACTGACTCTAATGAGAAATGAAATATTCTTTCCCGAATCATATCATATGGCAATTTCTCTCCTTGATATCGCTACTGATGATGAGTTCATCATCATCGCCGAGAATTGGTGGAAGACTCATAAATGGATAATTTTGTCCCTGTGGAAACCATCGATTGTGTATTGGGGGGTCTTGAGATTGCACTTGTTTTCCCCTCAGCTCTGAATATCTCTGACCATGAATTCAAGAAATGCCAGAGAGATGTTTCATCGGCGACCATGTGATTCATGGAGCATGCAATGATCTTTCTCTTTTAAAGAAACTGAGGAGCTTTAGAAACTGAAGAGGTCACTCTTCTCCTGTTGAGTGGGCCCAGACATTTTCCAAAGCTTAGAAATTTATGCTTAGCCTAGCTTTTTTCTGATTAAGAGATGTAATGAGATCTCATTGTGAATAGAAATTGTGAAGCTAATACCTGATTATGGGTAAATTGCTACCAACCCTTAACCAAATGGAGCAATCTAAAACTGCACCTTCTAATTCCAGAGTCAGATGTGTTTTTTTACCCCACAATTTTATGGTACTACGTTAAACGGTTTTTTTTTTTCTTTTGATAGAAAGAGAAAATTTTATTAATATGAGATAATGTTCACAGCAAGTGCAGTAACAATAAAATCTTGAAGGATGTCCCTCCATATACAATCATCAGAAATAGAACAAGCATATTTAGCAAAACAGTGTGCAATATTATTCAACTTTCTAGGCACCCATGATGTTTCCTAGGTTGCAAAGGTTTGTATATCTATGAGAATATCATCTACAAGCAGTCCACAAGTTGATGCATCCGTATTCATACTTTGAATCATTTTGATAACTTTTTGACAATCACCTTGAATAATCATGTGCAAATGAAGATTCAACAACAACTTAACCGCAGCCTTTGTAACATACGATTCAATAACCTCTCGATCAAAAATTCATGAAATTTGTTTTGCTAATCTTGCCACGAAATTACCCTCAACATCTCTAATAACTCCAATACCTTATATGTCACGACTAGCTAAGACAGCCCGTCAAAGTTAGCTTTAACATTATCCGTGGGAGGTCTTTTCCACTGGGACAAAACAGATTGTTGACTTGCAGATGTATGCTCAATAGCTATTGAATTCCTATTTGCCTCCTGAAATTGATTCAAGAAACATAATGAGAAGGATACCAAACTGAGTGTGTCCTTGTAAGATGATCCATCAAATACAGCCCCGTTACGATTGTTCCATAAATTCCAAAGTGTAATAGCAACTAATTACGTGTCTTCCTTCTTCAAATTTATAAGGATATTAGACAACTAGGATACCACATTATGAGCTGAATTTAACATGATTTTACCAGATTAAAACCTCAACGCCCATGATTGAATAACCACTAGACCCATTAAAAAAAGATGATTCATATCACCAATTGGAGATTGACACAGGTCACAAGAGGGATCTAGCAAAACTCTTCGACATTTGAGTTTGGCATTCGTAGGTAGAATATCATTGCAAACCCGCCACAAAAAAATCTTGATCTTACCAGGCAAAGTTAAGTTTCATAACTGTTTCTAGATTCCTTTTGTCATTTCGTTGCTCCCAAGAACTATGTATTGCCAATTGCTGGATTGGTGCTTGATTAAATAATAAGCACTTCGAATACTGAAAAATTCATTTTTTGTAAAACGCCATATGTGTTTATCTTGATTATGAGTATCACCAATTGCAATACTCTTAATCAATTCTATCTCATCTAGATAGAATAACTCTTGTAAAAGATCTTGTTTCCAAGTTCTTCTATTGCTGTTAATCAGGTAATGTACTGTAGTATCTTCCGGCAACCTATCTGAAGGAGATACAATCTTAAAAGTTGTAGGCTGAGGTAACCATCGATGTTTCCAAATTTGGATACCTTTTCCATTACCAACCCTCCTTCTGCTCCCTGCAACCAATATTTACGCACTTCATATCTCCCTCTCCAAGTAAACAAGGGTCGTGAACCTAATCTTGCCAAAAAGAAATCAGAGTTAGGAAAATATTTGATCTTAAAAATCTGATGTAAAAGAGAGAAAGGTTGTGTGGCAATCCTCCAAGCTTGCTCAGTAAGCAAAGCTAAGGTTGTGTTTGGATTACATTTTCCATGATTGTTCATGGAAAAATTACTGTAATGATTTGATGTATGTGAGGAAAAAAGGTAATAGGAAAATGTGATCACGGAAAACGACATAATTTTCCGACGAAAAACCGCAATTCAAACAAGGTAAATTGAAAGCCCAAAGTTGTCTGAACTCTGAATCCCATTCCCCCTTCTTCTTTTTTTTTTTTTTTTTACAGAGCTTGTCCAACTTATCTATTGAATAGGCCTTTCCTTATTACCATCACCCCACCAAAATTTTGTCATCATTGATTGAATATCAGATAATAACGAATATGGAAATTTGAAACATGACATTGAATAAGTAGGAAGTGACTAAATTTAGTTATATATACATTAAAAGGTTAAACAGCGTATATAAGTACTTCTAGGAAGTGACTAAATTTAGTTATATATACAAGACGAGCCTAAATTTTTGTGACACAAGCCTTCTTTTATTTGTTGAAAGAAATCGAGCCTAATACAAACTCTCACAAGTCACAGTCTAAATTATGCGACTTTTATGCCTTCTTAATCCTTTCTCATCATTGGTAGTTCCTACAAAAGAAGTACTGAAAAAGTGAAAAAATTTGCAATATTGGTAGTAAAGAAAGCAATATGTGACTGTTAGTTTCTGTTCACGGCTGTAATTGGTATTTCAAACTACTTGCTTACGATGCGCATCTATATATGCGTATTCTGACTCTGTCGTCCACATCAATTACAAATCATCTTTCCATGAATTGTTGGGTACAACTTTGTAGGCATTCCAAAGTTACACTCTCAGACATTTTCAAAGCGTAAAATATCTATTTCTCGCTCCAGACACTGAGGCATCCAATTTGGTAAAAGTCAGGTAACCTTTTCTTTCTGGCTTTATCAAGCTGCAACTTTAGATATACATAACTACGTATCTATTTTGTGATCAAGTCTTTGTTCATTTTGGTCTGTTTTTTTGTTGAGTGGAATTTTGCATGCCAAAGTTTAATCCATATTGCCACTGCGCTAGGTGTTCATCCAAAGCATAAGTCTAGGCATATGACATTTGCGTTCATTAACCATGCACATAATTCTTTGTTTTATTCATAATTGGCAAGTATTTGTGTGTGTGTGTGTGTGTGTATTTTTTTTTAAAAAAAAATGTTTGTTTCTGAAATTTGTCCTTTGTGGTTAAAATAGTATACTTGCTTATTTGAATTTCATTTTGTTGTTTAGTTAGAGGTGTTTAATCCAAAAGGGATGAAGGAGCACTTGTGTTAGACCGATAATACTCTTTAATTAAATTTATGAAAAACACTCTTCAATTAATTTATAGGCAAAAGAATCACGTTGCATTGCGAACACATAATCTTCTCTTTTTCTATTTGATGGATATATCAACTTGATCTAAGCAAAGTAGTTTTAAATGGTTGTAATTAAGCTAAAGAAACAAAAAAAATTATCCGACTGAACTTTACAGAAGGCAAATTGAATTGCCATAATCCTATGATTTAGATTGCTTGATTAATTAATTAACTGTTCATTAGTTATGAGGATACAAAATAGTATAGTCGTTTAAGCTTAGCTTAACGCAGTTGAGTTTTACTGGGATCCAATGAATAATCAAAGTTGTTAATATAAACTTGATGAAAAAAACAAATTTAAACACTCATATATTAAAGTATTCAACTCAATTGGACTTCTTTTATACCTTTTGATCCAATAGTTTTAACTTTGACATATACTTTCTTGAGCCAGAACCTCCAAAGTCCACGCCTGATTCTAGTTGCATCTTTTAATCACCTCCACTGGCGTATTTCAGATTTTCTATATTTTGCAATATCTAACTCGTTATTCCTCTTTTCCCGTAATAATTATTCACATAAATATCCACAAATCATCAACCCACGGTCTCGAAAAATTTTTTAAGCCTCCTGGAGGTAGTGCTGCAGTACTTGATACACTAGTAAAATATAACTTAAGTCGTGTCTATTTTGAATCCGAGAATTATCTAATTTTTATAAATATTATTTTTCTTACATCATAAATACGTTTTTTAATTATCTTTTTTGTATCGCATATATCACATTACAAAAAATGGTACAATAATTATTTTAAGCAATATTTTAAAGGATTAATCTTTCCTACACTAACAGTATATACACTGTCAGCGTTGGATGAATGATAATTATGTAAAATTTGAATTTAAAATTCAACTTTTGCACACATGTCATAAATTCAACGGTGATAGTGTATATAAGATTTACTCTATTTTAAATAGTACTCTATCTAAAAGTATTAAGTAATATGAGTAGGGGTTGTTGCTATTATCCTCGTACAATTAACTACACACTAATCTAATAAACTTCTCATTACCTAGGATTGTAAATGAATCGCGTCGAGTCGAGTTTTGAACTTATCGAGCCTAACTCGATTTATTTATACATGGGCTCAAGTTCGATGAGTCAAGAAATTGGAACTTGAGCTCATGCTCAACCAAGGAAAAGGCAAGGTCGAGATTGAGTTAACAAGGCTCGCAAACTGAAGCTCAATTTCTAGCTCACGAGTAGTTTGAATTGAGCTCAATTTCTGGATCACAAGCAGCTCGAAGTCAATATGAGTTTCTAGAAATTCAAACTATAAAAACAACATTTTCTCCATTTGTTCCTAATTAAATTTAAGCATAATAACAGCCTACAATTCAGGCAAAGTTCATAGATTTTCACATGTTTCTAATTGAATTTAGGCCTAGAAATTATCCACTAATACATTATAAAATTAGAAATACATGAACACGTAAAAGTCCAAGAATTCAATTATTCAATGATTGTCACACAATTAATCAAATACACAAACAAGGTTCAAAGGGGAAATGCGTTGTTGCAGACAACTATGAGCCTATGAACAAGCTTTGAGTTCTCCCCTTCTCCTCTCCAGTCAAGCCTTAAGTCCTCAAGTCCAATTGCAAGTCCTCGATCTAGAAACTCGAAATCAACTCAAGTTTTTGGAAATTCAAGCTATAAAAACAGCATTTTCTCCATCTATTCCTAATCAAATTTGAGTATAATAACCGCCTACAATTCAGGCTATAATTGATCATAGTTTTTCACATGTTCCTGATTGAATTTAGGCCTACAAATTATCCACTAATACAATCATAAAATTAGAAATACATGAACACATAAAAGTCCAAGCATCCAGCAATTCAAATGTTCAATCATTGTCACACAATCAATCAAGTACACAAACAAAGTTCAAAGGAGAAATGCGTTGTCGCAGACAACTATGAGCCTATGAACTAACCATGAGTTCCCCACTTCTCTACTCCAGTCCTGCCTCAAGTCCTCAGCTCTGCACAGTAGCTAAAATGTGCAACATTAACTACATTAAACAGCAAAAAAAATCTAGCAAGTAAGCTGGCAAAAAAACAGCCAAACACTAGCCAAGAAAAAGGGTCAAAAAACCAGCCAAAAAACTTTCAAAAACATGTGGAGATCAAACTTGCAGAGTATCTAAAATGTGAAAATTCACAACATATGCAGCCAAAAAACTAGCATAAAATAGCCAAAGACTAGCCAAGAAAAAAGGATAAAAAAACTAGCCAAAAAACAGCTAAAGACCCCACAAGTAAGATCATAACAAGGAAAATTAAATGCAAATTATCTCAAGCATAATGAAGTCAAGAAATAGGCAATGCAACCTCTTGTGCAGTCTTCATTTCTGCAAAAAGCAAAAAAATTAAGAAAAGGAAGTCAAGAAATAGTAAGAGAAAGACATATTTCAAATATTATGTATAGTAATTTTGCTTTTTAGTTACCTTTTCCCCTTTCTTCAACACCAATCTCCAACACATTAGAATTAAAGCTGATCACCTAAATAGGGGAATAAAAATGCTAGATGCAAATTTCCAAGTATAAATATTCTGCATAATACATATGAAGAATTTCAATCAATCAGCTATATCTATTGCTTTGCAAGTGTACTCTCAGAGTCTCACCTACCAGTATTCCATATTGTGATCATTTCCAGCAACTCATACTTGAAATCTATCTACAATTTAGTGAACCTAGCCCAGCAAATGACACCTTGGATATAGCCATATGACCCAAACTGTTGGTCTGGACTCTAAAGAAACAAATATGACAATTCAAAAGAGTCTAGCTTTCCTTGGTGATTCCAGTTTTTTTCATGCTGCCACAATCTAATAATAATGAATGAGAAAGGTAACATCAAAATCATATCATTTCATGCCAGCAACCTCTTAAAAGAAAGTGCATCTTTCCTTTCCATTTCCCTATGCTGAAATGGTGCAAAATCCACAAACATCAATGCATCTTTCCTTTTTTCATTTCCATGTTCATCAAAACTAAATATCATAATCAGCCACTCCAAACATAACAAAATGGCAATACACTATAGTCTGGCTACAAATTTCTTCATGTATTATCACTAACTACTGCTAACAAGTGAGAAAGGTAACCAACAAAACAATAACACGTTAGACTAAAGAACTTTTAAAAACCCCTAAGCTGAATTAGAATAAAAATTACATTTAAACAGTCATTGGCACGAAAAGAAGATATACATTTTAAATCAACCTGCAGAAAGATTTGTTCAGGAATTTAGAATCCAAAAGAGCCACCAAGTTATTTCACACATGCATACCATATGCCTAAACTAATCATGTAAAAAGAACCTTCAATCCCCTTCAGGAATTTAGGCTAAGTTTGGGAGTTTAGGATAGAAAATAGAAGAAGGGAAAACTTAAGTTATGAGAGAAGAGAAGAGAAGGGATTGTCATGTTGTTTGGGAATTTTGAGAATTAGAGGAATGATTTTAGATATGAAAGTCATTAAATATTTGTTCAAGACATTTTTAAGGATAAAATAGGTATTTTAAAAAACTTTCATAAGCTTCCTCCAACTTTCTCTCCATTTCTCTCCATTTTGGGAGGAAAAATTTTGCCTACTATTCATCTTTTTAAATCCTTCCATTTCCCTTCTTTTCTTTCTTATTAAAAACTAACAAATGAAGAAAAATTTAACTTTCTCTTTTTTCCCTTTCTTTTCTGTCCAATTAAGAAATTCATGCTATGGTTATTTATCTCCATAAGCAAAATTAAAATCCAGTGAGCTACTTGACCTTTTTTTCTTAAAAAAAAAAAACATTGTTATAAGATAATGTATAGGTAAGGGGTAATATATAGGATAGACTTACTTCGCCTAAGGATGATGTGAGGTAGTCAACAAGCTCCAAAACCACAAGAATATAAGCCCTCTTCTTTCCCTAAATATCAGAAAAGAAAAAGGACAAAATAAAGTTCAAAATGTAGTAACTGCAAAATCAAGCTAGAAAATGATGACATAGAAGTAAAAAGAAATGATGTAAGGTTAAAAGGCCCAAATGGAGTAAAACACGTACCTGTTGTTGCGACTATTTTGCTATTGCTAGCTAGTTGCAACTCTTCTTGGTCTTCGATTTAAGCCTTGAAGGTTGGTTGCTGGTAAGATGAATGATGGTAGACTGGTGACGGATGTGGTGGTGATGGTGACTGGTGAGGTGAATGGCGGTGGACCGGTGGCGGATGGGTAATGTGACTGGTGAGATCAATGGTGATGGATAAGGGCAGATGTGGTGGAGTGGTGTTGACTGTGACCTAGGGTTTGGGTTGTTCGATTGGATCTTGATGTGAGGTCGAATAATTCAGGAGGTGTTTGTTTCACATATTGGAATCGGAAATGAAAATGGAATCATAAACCCTGATTTTGGAATTAAACTTTACATTCCAATATCTAGCTTGGTTCACATATTGGAATTAGCATCATTCCAATTCCTGATGCTTGGTTTTATGAGTGTTTCGGAATTAAATGCAATTAAATTTTAAATTTAGCCTTGATATAACAATTCTTATAAAACAAAAGAATTACACATACGACAAATTAACATTTCCATAATTGTAACTACAATAATTATTAACTTTTTTGATAAAACATAAGAAAATCATAAACCATAAAAAAAATTAATACCAGAAAATAAATATAGTAGCTGTATTAACAAGGAGTAAATTCCCAAAAAGATGGAGTTTTTAAACTAACTTCCCAAATGGTGGCGATTTTTGAGTTTCTTCCCAAAGGGTGAAAAACACATCCAAGGAATGCGTTCTTCCAAATAAAAACTCAACTTTCAAATACATTATTTTAATTTTCATAAATTTGTTTAAATATGAAAAATTAGTTAAATAGCGCATAACATACCAACTCTTTATGAAAAACTGGCAGATTTTATAGTATATTTTGTATCAACTCGTTATGGGAAACATACCAGCTCTTTATAGAAAAAAATTGGTTAAATAGCGTCCAAAGGAAAACTAGTATGTTTTGTATTTAACATAAATTAAATATGTGAAAGTTAAAAAAAAAAAAAATTGCTCATAACATACCAGCTCTTTATGGAAAACTGGCAGGTTTTGTATTTAATGCGCTATTTAACCAATTTCGTTGGCCTGTGGAGTCCTCCCTCTTCCAAAACATGAACGGCTCATCAGTCAAAATCTCAGAGACCTCAACAATACATACATGATTTAACCCCAGGCAACCTGTAAATTCAAACTATCTGCAGTTTATAAATGAAAGGGATTGCGTTCACTTTTCTAAAGGTACTTTGTAGTCAGGAAAATTTGGTAAAATGTAAAATCAGAAATTTTGGCTCGACTCAAATCGTCCATTTCTTTGTTGGCTAAGGATTTTCCACAATCAGTTAAAAGATGTAGGTCAAATTCGAGAAGAACAAGAGTTGTTATGATTGAGTGCCTCTTTATCGCTGAAGATATTTGCCTATTTCTATCCCATTTAGATTTATTTTAGATTTTTTTTTCAAGAAATTTTGGATAAGAGATGAAGACTATATGATGAAGAAGATGAATTAGGAAATCTGATGAAGAAGAAGAACAGAAGGTGCGGCGTGTAATGGAGAGAAAGAGAGGATAGGTCCATCATAAATGTTGTCTGAGAGAATAAGTTGAGGGTTTTGTCTAAAACCTCCCAATTTGCTCGGGAATGGGATAAGTCCGATTTTTTAGAAATGATTCCAAAAATTGCATTCCAATAGGCTTAATCCAAGCAACAAATAAGGAATTTATTCCATTCTGTGATTCCCAAATCCTTTAACCAAGCAGCCCTTCAAATTTGGGATTTGGGAATATGAGTATTAGATAATTGTATTTGGTGATTTTTGTAATGTTCAGAGGTATAATTGTCATTTCACATCTTAGACGAGCTTAGTCAAGTGGCTTGACGAGCGATTGAACCTGAGAACAAATAACTCGAACTTGACTCACTTATTCACACGAACCGCTCAAGTTCGACTCGAGTTCGGTATTGATTGATTTTGAGTCGATCTCTGACTCGAGTAACTGCTCGCAAGTAGCTTGGACCATGAGCAGCCGTACTCTTGACTCGTGACTTGCCCTTTTTTTTATTATTTATTATATATATATATAGTTTATTATCACTTTATCTCCTTAACGTTTGGTGTTACTGTGACGCCCCCACATCTCCCTAAGGCGAACCAAAGGGTATCCGCGGGACGCCTGCCCAGCTCTCGCCAAGACTCAAGCAATTCCATTCAACTTAAAACCAAACCAAACATTTCGAAGAGAGCAACATGAATACAAATAATGCGGAAGCGTTCAAACTTAACAAGTCACTTAACATGTAACCAATACATCGGATAATCATAATACGACTTAAATTCTAAATACACATCAGGGCTCAAATTTTTACATTTCAATTCCAAAAGTACAACTCAAACCAGGGCATAGCCAAAATATAGTAGAAATCCTAAACAAAAGAACAACGAAGGATTTCTCCATACTTCTCCGAGATTCGGTCCTGTTAAGGAAAACAAAACTATAGGGTGAGCTAAACGCTCGTGAGGCCAAGAACACACATGCAAGCACATTGTTCAAATAGCAATCCCAAATTTATTAAACAAAACCGTAATATTTCAATAATCAACCATTCGAGCAGGAAAAGTAATCAGAAACAATTCAAGGATATAGTAACTCTCAGGAGCTAAGTTCCACTCGCTCTGCCGATGTCATTCGTATACCTTCCCGCGATGACCCTCCGTCAATCGGGTCGGTATTTCCATTTCCGTAGATCACCATTTACTTCCCTCCGTCCACCGTACACCTCCAGGACCCACAAGTCATTTATAAGGCGATACTCCACGAGTATGCCAAGCAAGACCTCTCATTAGGTCGAGCTTATATATCTCATGGCTCGCCCAGATTCCAGACCAAGCCCATTGCCGGCTCGAGTCCAAGGTCGGCCTATGAGTTTGGGCGTCCCCCATTCATTTGAAAGTCGAGGAGATTCACTCCAACGACGTATGTAGTCATAACATACCATTGCATTTCATTCATTCATTCAATACATTTCATTCATTCATTCATTCAATACATTTCATTCATTCATTTGAAATTAGAACGAGTGTGATAAAGTACACACCCGCCTTTATTTTTAAAATCTCCAACAATTACCACAATCAAGCAGGTATCAAGGATTCACACACTTGACACTCACCGAGCAATTCAATAAGAATTATTTTCTGGAAGTTCAAGTGTCCACTGTAAGATCCTCTTGAAGGTCTCCTTGTGCGCTTGGCAATTAATAGTGGATAATCACTCAAATATCCCAATTATCAAGGAAGATTGTACACTAGTACAATCTAAAGAATATTTCACGAAAATGAACCTCAATTACTCGTAGATCGAGGTTCAACTTGCGTTTTATTAAGTACAATATTAATTGAGTTTTTATCATGAAAATCGAGGGCAAAACGTTTGAATAATCTAAGAGAATTAAGAGTTTTTGGAAAAACTCTTTTGCCTTGAAAATTGAAAATTTTCAGTTTTATTATAAATCTTTGAAAATTCGTATCTCTCTCGATATAAGCCCAAAATTGGAAAAATTTATACCATTGGAAACCTTATGGAAAGTGTTAAAAGTTCTTAGAAGACACTTTTCCATGAATCTAAGTGGAAAGTACTAAAAAATGAGCTTGAAATCACTGTTCCAGAATGTTCAGGATTGAGCTAAGGTTGGTTTTTTCGCTAACTTTTGAAATTTGGCAGAATTCACTCGTTGCAAACTAGCCCTTGAAATTCATAATTCAATTAGAGGTGTAAGTAAGGTTTAGGTCAGAATAAACGGATTGAGAATTGGAGTTTCGAGCACCGAAATACGGTAGCTCGAAGTTAGGAAAATTCAAGTCTGGTGAACAATTTCCAGATTTGAGTTTCCAAAATTGGAACCTTAGCTAAGTATCAAAACGAACTTGGATTGGTATAAAATTTTGCAGTATGTTACTCCTTTATGAAAGGTACCGCTCTATCAAAACTCAGGGAAAAATACCTTCGGAAAGTTAGTTAATTAATCATCCAAAGTTCAGGAAAATTTCTAAGGCAACCTGTCTTTTGACTTCATTTCCCAATTCAAATCGTTTAATCAAGAAAGCTATCCAACCATGGTTCATTTGTGAAATAAAGGTCTAAGATACATCCATGATACCTTTGGTAAGTGTTTAGCATCAAGAACTTCAATTAATAAGATCACTCCCAGGTTTTGTCCCAAACCAGTCCAAGTATTACGGTTTTTCCAAAACAGGGCAGTCCTCTTGTTTTGGTCACAACTCAGTCAATTTAACTCAGAATGGGGCATGGTTTATGTCGTTGAAAATAAATTCATAGGGCTATAATATCACAGAAGAAATCATTTCAAAATTTGGCACCCAACTAGTTCAAAATCGGGCATCAATTTGCTGCCTTATCACTTCATTCCAGTTGAACAGAGCAACAGGACAGCGATCTTAAAACGTTTGGTTCGGCTCACTCATAAAGAATCAGAATGTGCATTTTATCTCAAATTAAAGCCTGGAATGTCTAGTTTCAAACGCCACCAACGGCACGTGATTTCGACATCCGAGGACAGAGTTATGGCCTAAACACCACCGCTGGTCAGAGCCATACGTGAACAGTTTCCAGATTTGCTAGTTTCACAAAAAAAATTCATTTGCCCAACCAAACCTCAATATTTTTCAATGAAATTTTTCACACATCTAATACGTCATATAAACATCAGATTCAAGCCATTAGTTCATTTAAAATTGGCCTTAAAATGGCCGAACAAGGCAGGAGCAAAATTGGAAACTTTTGCTTCTTGCACCCAATGAAATTTCTATCAATTACACACCATTAATCCATCATTTTAACCACTAAACCAACAATATATCCACCATCAATCATCAAATCAGCAACAACCCAAGAGTGGGAGTTCATAGAGCCCACTTTCACATTTCCTAACAATATCAAGTCATCTACTTACATGCAAGTACTTAGAGATGCATATCTACTACTATAAATCAAGTTTAAGGTGATGGATCATGTTATACCTTCTTAATGTACTAGATCAGAATTTTTGGCCCTTGAAATGCTCCAAGAAACCGTGATTTCCAGCACCCTTTTTGCAGCTCAAAATGATCTCCTAGTGTTAAGCTAAGTGTGGTGCAAGTTTGGTTGAATTTGGAGATGTTTTGGTGGTGGTTTGAGTAGGATTTGTGAAGTAAAATTTTGAAACAATGGAGTTAGAGAGGGAGAGAGGGCTGGTCGGCACTCTTGGGAAGGAGGAGAGAGAATGTGATCAGATTTTTAAGCTTTCAAGAGAAGATACTAACTTGTGGCCACAAATCACCCATTAGTCAACTCACATTAGGGTGCGTTTGGCGCGGTTAGGGCTCGTTTTCTCGCGCGTTTGGTTCACTAGTGCACTAAACCTCTAATGTACTTATATTCATGTAAATATTATTCACTCTTAATTGTCTCGAAATAAGGGTCTAAAGTCCCTCAAATAAAGTCGCGCGTGTGAAACGCGTACCGTCAATTTTAACGCTATAACGCGAAACCTCCGAGAAATTCGTATAACGATTGTACTACTAACTATCACTTGAGTATTTATTTATAAGATTACCTATTTTAGGACCATAGTACAAGTCTCCAATATTCCAAGCTTATTGTGCTCCTACGCGGATAAAATCTCCAAGCACTATTCACTATTTTTACTAAACGCGCTCCAGGAAATTAATTTTTGAAACGAGTCACTTTAAAAATATAACGAAGTTATATTACCATGTATTTAGGTCTAATAAGACTAGAAAATATTCCTCGTGGCAAAAATCCAATTAAATAATTTATTAAGCCATAAATTAGGTTTAAAAATAATAGTTTTTACGAGTCCTCACAGTTACTATTAATTTCCCCTTTAACATTACCTTTTAGTCATTTTACCATTAAGATTAACGGTCAAACTTAACAGAGTTTGTTAATTAAAGTGAAAAGACATGTTTAGCCCTTATCATTATTATCACTTTACCTCATAAACTATAGTGTCATTATCAATTTACACTCTAGAGTTATTTTTTTGGCAATTTATCCCATCATTAAACCAATTTAACAAGTAAAAAAACTTTAGAAGAAAGTAGCCTACTCTTTGTATAATAAAAACAATAAAAAATTTAGAGTGATTCTTCTCCTTTTTAATATCAAGAAAAAAAGTCAAATTATTAATCTCTTTTTTCTTCGCAATCTTATGAATATTGAAAAAAAATAGAAAGATGGGGAGAGAGAGGGGGGAGAGAAAGAGCGCTCAATTATTTTTTAAAAAAATACAAAGAATTTTATTATTTTAAAATTATTTTATTTTTTTGTTTACCACCCAATTCTAATTCTAATCCCGATAACTTTTAAAATAATACAATAATGTTATACTCTTCTTTATTTTCTTTCTTTGTAAAATCTAATTTTCTATATCCTTTTCTCCTATCTCTTTTTCTTTTCCTAGTATTAATAAGTGTCAAAAAGAAATTTGAAAAAATCCTTTTATTTTTATGTTTTTGGATCTCTTAAAGTGAAAATAAAAGGAACAATAACCATTCCAACTTTTTTTAATTATATATAAAAAAAAGGTAAATACTTTTAAAAAATTTTTACCATACCGATTAGATTAACGATAAGATAAAATATCTAGAAAATAATGTTAGAGATTAAAGAGATTGTATTAATATAATTTAAAGGGATAGAGTGATAATAATAATGTAATAATGCTATATAATAAAAGGATATTTTTACCTGAAATTTCTTAAATATGCTGAGTTGAATTATCTATGGGTAAAGTGATTAAAAGGTAATGTAAAGAGATAAATGGATAGTAATGATACAGTTTAGGGGTAAAGTGATATTAATCCTATATACATACATACACTGTTTATGTTACTAAGAACAGAAAAACGACCGAAAGAACTGGAGCCTTTATGGCCCGTTGAGTATACCGGGCTCTGATTTTCGCTGTCCGTCTCTGCATTTCTTTCTCCAATTGTGTGATTTAAGCTTGCTAGAGAAAACTTTATCAGAATCTATCTGTTTAACCCTGAACTGGGCTGGGAAAATTTCGGAATTTTTTAAAAGGTAAACTTTCCGCCACGTTATTTTTGTTGGCACTAGATTCTTTAATTGAAAGGACCATGGACTTGTGCATTAATTTCGTTCGAATATCATCTGGGTTCGGTGTGAAATTGCTATTCTTTGCGTTGTGGTTACATTATTGGGAAAGCTCTTTCCTTTTTTTTTTCCACGATCATGGGATTAAATTATTTTAATTGAATAGATATCAGAGATAAAGATTCAATTTTGATTTTTTTTTAGTAATATGATGAAAACTGTATTTTTAGCTTGTCAGCAAGTATTGTTGTGGTGTTGTAAAATTTTGTATGTTAACCGTTTGATAGAAATCCTCTGAAACTTATGCTGTTTGTGATGGCAATGGACATTGTTATTTACATGTTGAATACTGGGGTTTAGTGTTCTTCCTTTATTGGTTTTGTGCCGTCCTATATTAGTCTTTTGTTATTTGAGGATATAGCCAGTATGTGCTTATTTAGGAGAATATAGAGAGAAGTTCTCTGATAAGTGCAACAGAGGTGTGTAATTTATGGTATTCGGACCTATACAGAGAGATACATGATTTTCATGGCTGCTGAATGGATGCAGCTTTTGTGGTTCAGCGGAGGGCACTGATCCCCTGCCAAAGACTCCCTTCTTCTTCATAATCTCATTTAGGTCATTTTAGGTGTATATTTATTGAGAATGGAAGATTATAGCAAGTACTTGTCATGTTCTTGGAGACTTGGATAATGATAGCTAAGAAAAGAAAAAGGTTGTTGGGTTAGATGGAGCGTTTCTTTTTCCTTTACAGATTGCTTGTTATTCTCGATGTGACTTTTTCCATGTCTCTGGAGAAATTATCTTATAGAATAGATTTATATTACAAATTCTGCATGATCTTTGGAGTTACAGGGCAAAATAAAACCTTTTGTTTTCTATAGAATCAAGCTGAATGTTTATTTGGGCAGGGAATTTTGATACGGCGGTCATGGCAACAGCTTTGCGATCATTAACCCGGGCTATGAGGAGATCGAAACTGTTATCCATGTATAGTTCAGGATATATGTTGCACTCTCATGCTACTAGTTTTGGTGAGTCAACTCATCTTTCTATCTATATATCCTCCTTTGCATCATTATCTGGCCGAAAAGGCTATCTTTAGCTGTTTTTGAAGTGTTTTCATCCCACCCATTATAAGGAACAGGATGGTTTCCATTCTTCGACATGTTTCTGTTTTGGAGCTTTTTGCAATCTCTGACTTTTGTGTTTTTAATTTCGTGATAGTATGCCAAGAAACAGTCAGTTTGAAGTGATTGTTCAAAATTGATTCCATTTACATATATATATATATATATATATATTGACTTCTTTCAAAGCTGTTGGCAAGTCTGGTTATAGTGCAACAGATTGAAGATGCTTAGGCTAGATATTTTTAATTTAAGGGCCATGCTTTAACAACTGTGTTTACTTAAAAGGTCACAATTTCAGGGTATAAAGAGGTGCAGGAGGAAGAAAAGAGCCAAATGGTTGGTAACGTTTTCACCAGTGTTGCCTCAAACTATGACCTAATGAATGACTTGATGAGTGGTGGATTACATAGATTATGGAAGGACAGGTTAGTTTTTGGTGATTCAACTGTTTAAATTTTTTCCATTTCTGAAATTGGATGAATGACTTTCATTCTCTGAAATTGGATCTTTTGTACATCTTTTCCATTTAGATTGGTTTCCAAGTTGAATCCTTTCCCTGGAATGAAGCATCTTGATGTGGCTGGTGGTACAGGTGGGATTCCATTGTGGTGTTTACTGATTTATGTGACCCTGCTTCCATATAATCTTGTATTGCTGAAAAGAGAAGTGCCATGTTAAAATGCCATGTGATGTTCCTGTTATTTTCTTAAAATTCCTTGTGAGTTTTGTTGTCCTCTACTTTCTGGCTTGGAGGTATGATCCCCAAAGTTAAAGGTTCATAAAAGTTATTGGTGTATTTTTTCTCTTGCTAAATATTTGAGCTTTTGTCAAATATTTATTGCTCTTCAAATCATCAAAACAAGTATCTGTATGGTATGTAATTATGTTGTAGTTTTGGATTTCTTTCAGGCAGAAGCTAGACTTATGCACAAAACAATTCCTATGCCCCTCTTTTCTTGATTATTAATATAATGCAATCTGCAGTCCAAATGCATGTTATACATAGGTATGGATATATCTGTTTTTTGTGCTATGAAATGTTCCTTAATCTTGGTTCTGGATCTTTTTTACTGGAGTTGCTTTTTCTGAGGTACATCTGCTTGCAAGGCTATTTTTCTGTAGCCACTTTGACCTTCCAATCTGATCATATGTCCACTATGCAAACACGTTTGGCATCTAAATTAGAGGCCTTTTGATATTTGAAACAAAATCTGAAAAGTTTGATTTTCTGCTCAGTACAAATTGTTTATGAAAACCTTTTGCTTCTAAACAAACTTTTGAAACCTGTGGAAGGAGTCCAACCTTAGATATCTTAAATGGCGAGATAAACCTTCATAACAAAGAAAGTTGATTTTTGGTACGATTTTTGTTTCATAACTAAGAGGAAATAAAGTTTCCATAATCTGTTGTCATTCAGGTGGTGAAAAAACTGGTACTGTTGAATTGAGTAAATTGCTTCTGGTTTTACAGGGGATGTTGCTTTTAGGATTCTAGAAAGTATAAACAGTGTTAAACGTAGAGCTTTGCAAGATTCTCCTGAAGATAATTTGCTGGAGGAAACTCAGATTTTTGTGTGCGACATCAACCCAAACATGTTAAATGTTGGTAAGAAGCGGGCACAAGAGAGAGGTAAGAAACCCATGTGAAAAGAATCTTCATTTAAACCCTTTGATGGCAAAGGTTATAATTTTGACATGAAATTGCTTCCTGGAAACAAGAATTTGTAGTATTGAAGTGAGGAGGTTTTTTTTTTGACTTCTCATTCAGGTCTTGCTGAGGATAGAGCTCTTGTCTGGGTAGAAGGAGATGCAGAAGCTTTGAATTTTGAGGACAATTCAATGGATGGTTACACAATTGCCTTTGGGATCAGAAATGTTACGCATATTGAAAAAGCTCTTGCAGAAGCTTATAGGTACATTCTTGCTACATTATGGTTGAACTTTGTCACATAGAAAGTTCCGGCCAGTGATGCTTGTACATATAGTTCGTAAAGTTTTCATTCCTCCTAGTGGTTCATTAAATGGTAGTAAACAGAAATTCTCAAAATTCTTTGGAGATGGTTGTTTAATAGCACTAAATGTCATATATGGCTGGCACGAATGTGTAATTTGCTATAGTTCCGGCACTTTCTGTGTAATTTTCATTACTCCTAGTGGTTCTGGCAAGTGATGCTTGTACATATAGTTCATAAAATTTTTATTCCTCCTAGTGGTTCATTTAATGGTAGTAAACAGAAATTCTCAAAATTCTTTGGAGATGGTTGTTTAATAGCACTAAATGTCATATATGGCTGGCATGAATGTGTAATTTGCTATAGTTCAGCAAAGGGTCCTTGAAGTTACTTTGAACCTTATAATTTTATGAAGGGTGATTATCTTGAACTCTATATTACTATTTTGAGCAAGTACCAGAAATAAAATATTGACAAAAATCTCAAAGTTCTGGTTTAATAGCAACTAGAGTGAATTATTGGTCATCTGTAAGAAACTACGTTTGTGAGGTTTTTAAAAGAGGGGAAAGTAAGTTCTACATTTCCTGCAAACCAAGTTTAGATTGTGATTATGATCAGCGCTCTTTATTGGATGGTCAAACCAAGTTTAGATTGTGATTATGATCAGCGCCTCTTTATTGGATGGTCCATTGTGTTGTTAAAGCAAATGCTTCATGGTAAGAAGCACAATGCACGGTTTAATATCTTTCATCTTGCATGTAGAACTTGGGACCAAAAAGGTTTATTTCCTTCATGTCATGTTGATCTTTGCCCTAATGCTGTTGTTCAAGTTCTCAATGTTTCATTTTCCTATTAACATTTACCTCTGGATGACTTGGTACATTCAACTTTGTGTATATTTTTCAGGGTGCTTAAACGAGGGGGAAGATTTCTTTGCCTTGAACTGAGCCATGTTGAAGTTCCAATTTTCAAGGAACTGTAAGTATCTTCCTTTACATGTCTCTGTCATTGTAATTTACTCAACAAATGGCTCTTCACTCTCTCTTTTTGACAGCAAGAAAAGATTGTATTTTGAGTATGACCAAGGTCCAAAGTGTAATATGTTTGTAGCATTTACTTATGTGCTATACACATATAGTATACTGCCTAATGACTATCTAAAAGTTTTTGAAGTTTTGAAAACTATGAGCTGCTGATGTATCTATACTTCTATTCATTGCCTATATGATGCTTGCTTACTATAGAAGGTGTATATAGAAGGAAAATATCCTGTAAAAGATAGGAAAAAGTCTTACTGCCACAATTATATAGTTGGCACAGTTAGTATCATGTGATTTAGAACTTCATTCCTGTAGATTTGGCATCGTTTTACAGGATGTATAGGTGTTCCTTAGTGTGCATTATTTGTCTTGTACAGTGGAGGAGATGAAAGTGACGTGTATCACTGTTGCTTCCTTCTTTCGCAATAGGTGGTTAACTCATTTCTTCTTTTTAATGTGTTCTATTTACCTTTTGGTAGCCTCTACTGCCATGAGTTAGATTTGATAGTGTTTGTGATTTGGCAAGGGCTGAATCTACATGAATGAATTTGGTCGATGCTATTTCTCCTTTTCTTGTGTTCCCCCTTCTCTCTCTCTCTCTCTCTCTCCATCGTACAAATGCACATACTTAAGCTTGAACCTGATCCTTCTTTCCCCAGGCACATCAGCTTATTCATTAAGCACTTACGCAGCTGAGGTTGATAAGTTAAAGATGAATGTTGGTCCATACCCCGTGCTAGAAACATTGATTGCTCTAAGAATCCTTTTAGCCACAACTCATAAATTTGTTTATGTGTATTTTAAATGAGTTGCATTCTCGTGTTTTGTTGTTTTAGTGCATTTAATGATCTGTAGACATGATTTTTCTTCTTATTTTTTTCAGGTATGATCTGTACTCTTTTTCAGTCATTCCAGCAGTAGGAGAGCTAGTTGCTGGTGATCGGGAGTCATATCAGTATTTGGTGGAAAGCATTCGTCGTTTTCCACCTCAGGTAAAATATATGCATGAATAGGGAATTACCATCTTGTGCTACTAGGGCTTGTTAGTGTCTTGGTCGCTCTCAATCTTTTGCCTAACCACAAAATATGTTGCAGATGCTTTGGAAAGTTTAAATGTGTTATTACTATCATGAAATTCTTATTGCACTTTTTTTTTGGGACTGAATTGGTCACTTTATGCATGTTTATTGATTGCAGTGATTCATTGAAGAGCATATAGTAACCAGAGCTAGGAGCCCTGGCTTTATCGTAAACAAACTTGCACAGGGTTTTTTTTTTTTTTCAGTGTAGATAGGAGATCTCAAACCCAGGACCTCTCACTTACACTCCCTCCTGCCATACCACCCAACCCATCCCTCCCCCACACAGGGTTTCTTTGCTTCAGTCTAATTTCATAGTTTTATGTTAAGGAAATGTGAGAGTCAAGCAAGTTTAACGGTGAATAACTCATTTTACCACTCATGATAACATAGCTCTAATTGAGCTTGTTGGCTATTGCACCAACATGTGACACCTGCATTTGGTTTTTATGTAATAGTAGCAATGCCTTTAATCTTCTTCCTGAGTTTGACTAGCAAAAAGCAGGTCGTCCCCAAGCTGCTAATTGTTTCATCTGCATTCGGCTGTATCTCTTGGTATGATTGTCACAAATTATAATAACAAATAAAACTACAATCACTTAGATGATATAGACAATAATACAGGTTATGGTAAAGGTTCTGTTGTTTACGCAGAATCTGGCTGGCACTCCTAAACAAACTCTTCATCTGAAATTAATTTCAAAACCATAACACGGATGCTAATCATTAAAGTTCTACGTAGTGCCACGTCCATACGTGTAAATCTTACCTAATCTCTCTGACTACGACTGCAGGAGAAATTTGCTGCTATGATTGCAGACGCTGGATTTCAGAAGGTAGAGTATGAGAATCTCGTAGGAGGGGTGGTTGCCATCCATTCTGGGTTAAAGTTCTAATGCTAATCCGTGCGTCAAGGCTATATTTTCATCTTTTTATGGAAGAGTGAGGCGGGAGAAATGTTGTAGGGTATCAGTTGGATGTGGTGCAAAGTAGGTTTTACCAGAGATTCCGTTTATGCTATACATCTCTTCTGTCTCAATTGTGAGTTCTCAGATGTACAGCATTTGCTGGGCACACAGTTTTGCTCTCAACAGGCTAGGCTGTTGCATTCTCTGATCTTCATCTTTTAGGTAAAAATTCTACAATTTTGATGCTCATTTGTTCAAGAGAAGGCTCGCTAATATGCAGTTGTACCTAATTTTAGTGCCACAGCGCTGGATAAATGATCTCAAGCAGCTTATTTCGTGATTCTTTCTGGTTTGGATCATGCTAAAGTATACTGACACTTGGCTTTTGTCCCCTCCTCCTCCTCCTCCTCTCTCTTTTAACCTACAAAAAGTTCAGAATTCTGTTTGAATCTAGGCAGATAACTTCTTCATAGCCTACTTGAAATTACGAAAAAGTCGATTCACGATTTGAAGCTAAGCCGTTAGCATTATCTACTATGTGCGTGCTAGCTAATTTGAAGTCAAAATATATGGCAAACTGCTAAATACGAACTACTCTCTCAAGTTTTAACCCAAAACTTTTGAGTTTAACTATAACAAACCATTTAAAAGGGCAGATCAATTTGCACAATTTTGAGGAGCTTCAATTACATGAGAGGTTGGAAAATCAATAAAAACGAGTTCTTGCTTCTCGAAAGAGTGGGAGGAGTGGCATTCAATTATAAGTGGTTTATATTGTTTGAACGCTATTTAATATTAAAACTCCTATTTGATAATGGAATGTGTATTAACATTTGAAGAAAATTTTTGAGCACCCAATACTAGAAAACTAAAATTTGATATAAATATGAGATAGAAGTTTCTTCACGTCAATCACTATGGCGTGTGAACAAATATCATATTGTCATATTATATTCAATAATGTAGAGCTTGCTCTCGATTACTTTAAATATAAATTAATTATCGAGGATAATCAGCTAAACCTCCTATTTGACAAATTCTTGATCTTAACTTTTTTGACTATTAAAAAATTTAAAATTTAAATACAAAAGCAAACATAAAAGTAATGTGTATTACTACGCTTCAAATTCTCTATCCCCAAATCTCTCTGTCCCTTCGAAAATTTGCTGTCACGTAACTATAGAATAAAAATTCCCAAATTCCTTTTCTCCTTTCAGAACAATAAAGGGAGTACGTACACCTTCACGTTGCAATGTAAAATAAAACATAGATAATATAGGAAATCACAACCCAAGCAAAATTCCTCCATTCTTCACATTCTCAGGTAAATCAATCAAGCTTTTGTATGTCAAAGGATTCTGCCTTTGTATGATTAGTGGTTAAACAAAAAAAAATTTGCCCTCAATTTATAGTTTCTAATTAAATCTAACTAGAAAAAATTTTGGGGAAATATTCAGCAAAATATTTCGCTAAAAAAGTTTGCTTTATTAACTTGGTATCTCTTGAAATCGAGGCCATAAGAATTATGGATAAGCAAGGGGATAAAAAAACAACTTAATTTGTATATATATGACACAGTCTGGATTATGGAAGTGTTTTAGCAAAATTACAATTAGGATATGATGACCATTAAAATGAGTCACGTAATTAATTGACACAAAACAAGGATGCGGCAGTCCATTCTTTAGGGACAGCGGGTTTGGGACAGAAGATTTGAAGGGTCGTCCCATCCCCGTTGTGCTTCAAGGGCAAAATTGTCAATTGGGCGATGCTTTGATCTGGCTGGGCGAAAGCTTCTCTAGCAGAGTATCTCTTTAGATCGCAACTGCACCTGGAAAAGTCACACTAATGAGGCATGGCCATGGCTGTGGCCTCACCCGTTACCGCCACCGCCTGCAGAAAAATTCTCCTAACCCACTTTGCATTTCGCAAGCTCCGCCAGCCGCCTACCACAAGAAGACTTGTTTCTTCAGTTCAGCCACGCCACCACTGCTATCGTGCAGCAGCTACTGCTTCTTCCGCCGGCGCGGTTGAGCAAGAGGTTCAACTGATCAGAAGCCCGGAACTCGTGGCACAGGAGTACGCTGACCTTAGTCTCGCCGACAAGTTTTCCGAGGTCGGAATTCTTGATTTATCATCAATGGTAGTAATTTATTTGTATGTCCAGATTTTCTGAAGTAATAAAGTTTATGGTGGTGTTGTTGAAGGAGTTGGGTCATGTTCGAATTCGGCAGCATGTTAACCCTTTGCGCTCTACTTTCATGGTATTATGATTATGTCCCTTTTTCTTGCTCCATTTCTCTGTTTTTTTCTTTTCAATTTTGGAATATTTTCTTCTGGGTTTTTTTTTTTCAATTGATGTTTATTTGCTGCCGAGCTGGCCAGGTGCCTGCTGAAGTGCCTGATTGGAATGAGGTATACAAAGATCCCACATTGCCATTGATGGTGGATATAGGATGTGGTATGCCCCTAAATTTCGTCATTTCTTTCTGTTTGTCAAAGATAGTACTAATAAAAGTTATTAGTCCACGTTTTAGGGAGCTTCATCCAACCTCAATAGCAGTCCTATAAGTGAGCCTGGGAAATGATCATTTTATTTTTGGATACTGTATTTATTGTTACTGTTTGGTAGTACTCTAGCGAATTCCTATTTGTCCAAATTTAAAAGTGCTCACCTTTTACAATAAATATAGATTTTGTAAAGAGAAAGACCTTTTTTATTTTGTATTGTGGCATTCGCAAAGAAGCTTTAGGTGTTATTTGGAACTCAGGAATTTGGGAGGAAAGGTTGGAGAAGTTTTTTGAACCTTTCCTATTTATGTTTGGTTTCAAGGGAAGTACAGATGAAGAATCTTGGACAAAGCAATGGTGGAGCTCTTTGGGAAGTTTTGTCCAATTCTTCAACTAAGCAAAACACTTTGACACTTAAACAAACTTTAGTTAAGAAAAAATATGGGAAAGTTTTGTTTTTCCATTCCTTCTGGGTTTCCTTTTGCTCTATGAAGAAAGGTGTAGAACTTTGTCCAGATTTTCCCTATGAGTAAAACTTAATGTTCCAACATCATTTTTGGCACTACAAATGGTTTTGGGTTCAAGATATGTGAATCTATTTTGTGTTTTTATCCTTTTATACTGATTCTGTGGGGTCAATTACCTTATCATCATCCTTTAATCAATTTGGCTTAGAGATGATCTATTATATTCTCACAGTGAATGGGTTCTCAGGTAGTGGCAGATTTCTCATGTGGCTCGCCAAAAGAAATCCTAGTTCCAAGAATTATCTTGGATTGGAAATAAGGCGGAAAGTATGAAATCATTTTCCTGAGGTTTCTTGATTATGAAGTAAATGAATGTACTATTACTCATTCATTTTCTAATTTTAAAAATTGTGCTATGTGCTGAAAGTATAATTTCCTGGTGTAGTTGGCTGAACGAGCAAATTATTGGGCAAATGACCTGGCTCTTAATAATGTGTAAGCCTTTGATGAACTTAATTGTCTTTTAGTTATGACTGGCTCATGGGAAACTAGTTAATTTGTTATTAAATAAATGCAGACATTTTGTCTTTGCAAATGTGACAGTGTCATTCAAACAACTAGTATCAGCATACCCTGGGCCGTTGATGTTGGTATCAATCTTGGTAAGTACTATTCTCATGCTGTAATTGTCAAAAATATAGGAACAAATTGGAAGCACTTGCAGAAAAAGAGATTCAGTCTTTGGTTTGGATAAACTGGTTGTTGCCCAACAATAATTAATAGGCTAAAATACATAGAACCCTCCTGTGGTTTGCCTATTGTACATGAAACTCCCTTATTGTTTAAAAACGCCCGCATAACCTCCTTGTGCTTTGGACTAATTTGGAAAATGGACAGAAATCATTCAAATTGACGAAAAGATGTAAATGTCCTATATTAATCCTATTTCCAAACTGAATCAAAGGTTAACTCAGGGCTCAATTAAAGTTTTAAAAACTTTCCTTCATTTGAAACAAAGGTAGAACTAAGGGGCTCATTTGAAATTTTATAAGATGTATCATCTTCTTCAAGGAAATGTCAGAACATTTTGGGCTTTTGTTTCTTCCTTTTTTTTTAAACATTTTTCCTGTTTTCCTGTCCTCTTTGATTTTCCTTTCTTTTCTTTCCCCATCAATCCAGCCAACACCACCCTTTCGTCGCTGCCATCATCTCGCTATCACCATCTCGCCATCTTCATTTTCAACAGCATCTCTATCACCGCCAGTCTAGATTCATGTCTTTTTCATGTGTTCTTCTGTAAAATTAAGAACCCAAATCTAAGCAGCAACTTTCTTTGGAGACTTGGGTTGCTTAGTCTCTTTCTCCTCTGAATCATTAGTTTTCTTAGGCAACAAAACTGGCTCTTTCCCCTGCATCTTCATCGCCAATTGTTCGAAGGTCTCGGCCTCATCGCAGTTGATTAGGAGGCTTTGTCCTCTCAGTATTCCAAGCAAGCCAAGAGGGTCTTCACTCTCCAATTACATGAAGGCAGTGGACCTCGATTTCTCCTCCTTGCCCACCGGTTGATTTTTCTTTTTTTGCTTCCTTTTATCTTTCCTTCCATCCGTCCTTCAACTGATATCACCGACAAATGGCCATTGGCAGATCTAATTTTGCTATTCATGTTTCTATTGAATTTGGGATTAATTTGAAGTTGATAATAGAGCCACTATGTGATTGATATATGGGAGGCTTTTGATGTTAGGTTGGGATCATTGATTGAGAATTTTTTGTTAATATTTTGAGACTATTAGATTGAGAATTTTTGTTGTTATTTTGTGCTCTATCTTATTGGAAATTTTTTGGTGTTATTTTGGGATCATTGAGCATTGAAATCAGTGATGATTGGTGGTAGAGTTGCTGGGGATTGGTGGAGCTACTGGTGATCGGTAGCGGTACTGATGATGATTGGTGTTCACCGGTGTCATTGACCATTTTGGTGTTATTGACCAGTTTGGTTGTGAGCAGGGAAGAAATGGAGAAGGAAAATAAACAAAAAAAAAAAGGAAAGGAAATAAAAAAGGAAATCACAAAAAACTGCAATATACTGAATTGTCCTTGACAATGTCACTTGAAACTCCCTTAATACATACACGAGTGCATCTCAAACTCCGTTATTTTGGATGCTTTTCATCCAAGTTCCAAAGAAGTCCAAAGTATAGGGAGGCTATGTGGGGGTTTTTAAATAATGAGGAAGTTTTATTTACAATAGATAAACCATAGGGGGGTTTACTGTATTTTCCCCTAATTAATAATAGCACTATTAGAAACAGCATTGGTTAAAGCATATGGTTACTCATTCTTGCTTGCAGTGCCCTGACCCACATTTTAAGAAGAAGTATCATAAAAGGAGGGTTGTACAGAAGCCTTTGGTGGAGTCCATTGTGGATATTTTAGCACCAGGAGGGCAGGTATGTTCCTAAAAACTTTACAATTGCATTTTCTTAAAAATTTTCAACGGACTGTGTATATGTCAATGTTACCATAAAATATTATTGTGCTTTTGTTATACTTAATGGCATTAGAAGACTTGAGAGGATGGTTACTCAAGTCCACTTTGGTGTTCTTGAAGTTAGAACAAGTGATAGTTGTATCCAAATTTTTTGGCACATGATTGCATACTCATGGAATATTTGTTCTCGATCTTGCTTTAGGCGATGATTCCACTCATGTATGGTGTAGAGAGAGAGAGAGGTTCAAAATAGGATTGCTGTTTTGTCTCAACTTAAATTTCTTACTTTTGACTGTAGACACACTAATGAGAAAGAGTTGCTAAGAGACGTAGTGTTTCATACTGAAAGTTGAAAACTGTTTTGGTCCATTATGTTAGTCAGTGCAAATTTAATGGAAAAGAGGGAAATGCAATTGCCCTTATCTATTTAGTGTGCGGAATACTTATTTTTTGGAGTTGAATTTCCTAATATAGAAGACGGATATTATTTGGCACACATCTTACACTGGAGGAAATAATTCATTAGATTTGGGAGAATTGGAGTAGTATTTTATCATTTATATTGCTGCACAGTTCATCTTGCTCAGACTGAAATTTATAATCAAGTTTTTTTTTTTTTGAAAAAAATTAATAATCAAGTTAGTAGCAGTTTTATTTGTGCTAGATACATGATGTGATTTCACCTTACTGCATGCATTGTGAGCGCCTGCAGATTTTTTTAAAGATTTTTGCAACCATAGTCATCATAAAAGACATTGCTTGCAAGCTCAAAAGTTTACCTATGGCTCATTCTGCAACAAAATTTTACCTAGAAAAATAATATTGCAATTGTCTGAAAGAAATGGGAGTTTGCTTAAGCAAGAACAACAGGATGAATGCTTTTGAAAGTGTTGCAAGGGAGTTCTAAATACTGCAATTGTCGTTCAACACCTAGAACCATGTTAATGTAAAACCTAATTGATGTGGGATTTCTGAAAACACCTATTCTTTTACTTCTTCTCTTTGATGCAAAAACGAGAAACTTAGATCCTCCAGCCACTAAGAAGCGTACATGTCTCATGTTAACTAGTTTTTTAGCATGTGATTCCAAACCTCAATTGGTAGTAGCATTTAGTCTTCTCTTTTTTCACATTTTTTTGGGCAAATTACACTTTACTCCCCGGGGGTTTAGTGTTTGTTTACATAACCCTCCTATGATTTCAAAAGCTATACATAATCCTCTCATAGTTTGGATTAAAATGTCAAAGTGATGGAATTTGCAATCCATAATAGAGTCAACTAAAATGTCAAAAATATCCCTATGTAAAGTTGAAAATTAATTATTAATCACAGGGGGCTTATGCATATATATTGAAAACTATAAAAACCATAAAGAGATTATATAGTAAAGTGCTAAACCATAAGGGGATTATATGATAAAATATAAAATCATATGGGGTTAGAGTGTCAATGCATAGTATGTTTATATATTATGGTCACTTCAGCCACTGTAGTTTTCAAACAAGGGCAATTTTGACATTTTCATAGGTTCCGTTACGAATGATCATTTCCGTCACTTTGACACTTTAATCCAAACTATGAGTAGGTTATATATAACTTTCAAAACTATACGGGGGGTTATGTTCTAATTAGCTATACCACAAGGGGATAAAGTATAATTTGTCCTTTTTTTTTCTGTGATTTATTGTTAATAATATTCTGTCCTGTGCAGTCATTTTATATGAGATAGTTGTAACAGTATTTCGGGACCATAGAGCTCATGATTTGAATTCCTCTACACACACTTTACTCCTCACATACGCTGTTGGTGTAGGACCATATTTTGCAGCTCTAAAACAAAAGTTTCAGTTCACAGGTAGAGAGTAAAATTGCAAGTTGATATCTGCTCGCAATGGACATTCTGGCCTTTAGCTGTGAACATTTGAATTGGGCATTGATGTGATAATAAATTGGGAATTTCTTAAAAGCCCACGCAACCAAATATAAAGGGCATGCATGTGCTTGCATTTGTATAAAATCAATTAATGGTTGCCAAATATTCTTCTTCTCATAGGCCTTATTTCTGACTTTCTAATCAACTTCCCTTCATTCCACGTAAAAGGAGGTCTAAGGAATGAAGGTCATTCTCATGAAAAATGCAGATGAGAAAGGAAAGCTGTTGTTATTCCATGGAGAAGAAATGAGAGAGATGATATTTTCTTGCTCGAAGGATGCGATCTTTCCATAATAAGTAGATGTCATTCAAGGATGTTCTGGCTTTTCTTCACTTTTTGAAGTTCTGTTATCACATCTTAGCTCATGATACATTAGCATATGAGATTATAATAAGTATACATTTCATAGGACTAATACTGCACCATTGTTTTTGGGCAGGTTTTTATTCAATCGGATGTGCTAGAATTGGCAATAGACATGAGAGATCAATTTGATGCAAAGTCGAATAAGCTTATACATGTTGACAAGATCGACCCCAATTTGTCATGTGACAGTGAGGGATGGTTGATAAGTAATCCAATGGGTATAAGAACAGAGAGAGAGATCCATGCAGAATTTGAAGGTGCTAGAATATACAGGAGGATGTATAAAAAATGCGTCCAACTTTCTATGCCAAGTGCCGCAGATCAGGAATAACAGTTGGTAATTTTTTAAGCCCGAATTTTGGTATCAGGGCTTCTCTGAGAATCCTGGCCTGGTACCTGCTGCTTCTATTTAATGTGAACAGACTCTCCGGTCTGTTTTGCTGTACCCCTTCGGAGTACTTTCAGTGGACACAGATCAGCTGCTTGAAATTGAACGTGAGGCATTGGACCCCATTGCAAGAGAATGTGGCCTAAGTATATTCATCAGCTCCTCTGCGTTGGTTAGCCATTGCATCCTTGAGAAGGAAAGAAGCTCGCTTTAGTGCTGCAGTGGTTGCTGGATCCCTGGTAGCCACTCGCGAGAGTATGAAGGGGAGCTGTTCCGTCTACACGCAGATTCACTGGCTTTGGAAGCAGAAGGTTTGCGAGTTTTAATACCTTTCAAGTCTCAACTCCTTGCAAGGAATCAATTAGGCCACTATAAATACTTGAAAAACGAAAAGCAGAGGTAACATTTCTACTTATTTATACTTTTATTGTTCTTACTGGCATTAGAAGAGTTTACATAAATCAAAAGATTGAATAATAGAAAGTATAGTGACTTAAAAAGAGCAAAACAAATAATGATCAATAATCTGGCCTTATTTCCCCAAACTGAAAATGAAGCTGTTTCAGAAGGAGATTATCTATAATTTGCACTTCTATGTACCACCCTTTATTTCAAATTGGATTTTTCTAGTAGGCGTTAAATTCGAACTCGTTAACACACTTAAATCATACCTAATTTACTACGTGAATGCACATACTAATAATTATTATTCTCTTTTATATTTGTATATTTTTTTTCTAATTAACTTTTTTTTTTCAAAAATGTAACATTTTGTTTGCATCTTAATGATTGCTCACTGGACGCTAGTTAGATAGACCTTTTAAAATTAGTCAGACAGGCAGCAGTGCATTTAGTAAGCTAACCTAGAGTAAATTATTACATAATAGCAAGATTGTACATTACATGTATTCTGCAAATTCCTTTACCACAAGATAAAGAAATCCAACAACTACATTACATTGAAAACTGAAGTATTGAAACTTATTTGCTGGATTGGGAATTTAAGTGGGCAGAGCGAATGTGCAAATCTTTTCTCTTACTCCTATGGCCACTAGAATTGATGCCTGTTTATCTATTTCATGGCTCATGCTATAATCATTTGTTGCCTCAACATGTTCTCATGTAACAATCCAATAAAACGTTGTTTAAATTCCTATAAAATTTCCTTATCACCAAATTAAGGTTTAGGTGCTTGGCCTTGTCATATTCCATTTGTGAGTTTTAGTGCGTATACGGATTGAATCTAGCAGTAACAAACGTGAAAGTTTTGGAGATTGAAGCATACTTCAGAAAAGCAAGCAATGTATGGATACAATTTCTTGCATTGGGGGGATGGTAAATGTCCTGTTGAATAGAAGAATATGCATGTCATGTCAATGGCTGCTAATGCACTTGTCTAATCTAAAAGGGAGAAAAGAATACAAGGGGATATCATATCATGGAGTAAGAGAAAGTTGAGGACATAATCGATACAGTATATTTTTCTACAAAAACTCTCAACCTTCGGTTAAGTTGCCTTTGCAAGACCTTCTTTCTTGTCATGCTGGTGTTTAATGCAACGAAATTGCAAAACGCAATGCGCTGTAATAGTCCATAATAGCCATTTTCATGGATTCCCAGCAGATGACTATGGTGGAATTGGGAGTCGTCTTCACTTTTATTGAGTGCTCCTCCTTTTTCAACGAGTCAATAAAAGGCCACTACAGAAAAATACTCAAAAGCTATATATACTTTTATATGAGGATGAGGATATTCTTGGACATTTATGGTCTGTCCTGGGTTAGGAAAAAAATTTTCGACAGAAACGACGTCACTCGGCTTTGCTCGAAATTTCTGTCTGCATTTTTGGAATGAATATACAATTAGCTTGATGCATGAACATCATACCAAAAGATGCAGAAATTTCAAGTATATATAAAGCCTGCACAGATGTCCTTATTGTTCTGGGAAAGTTTCTTCCTCACTCGCGGTAATGGTCAAAGTTTTCTCTTGAAGCTCAAGCGAATTACGTATTGGATTGAGTTCGATGATTATTATTACATCAAATTTGATTTTTTAAAGCCCAAATAGGAGAAACAGGAAATAACCCGTAAGTTGTTAAACTAATTGACGAGTCGAGTCGTGATTGGTACAGAGCACCGTAAAGTCCCTTGAAAAGTCCCTTGTTCGTCATCTTGCTCTCGAGCAATAATCAGCTGTGCCTTGTTTCATTATATCAGTCGGTCACGACACGTATTCTCTTTTACTCGCAGAAAAGAGACGAGAAGCGAAATTGTTGCGCTAATTCTTCATTCACTCACCCGCCCCAAATCGATATTAATAACTTTTGTTTGCATAGAGATTATTTTATTTGTCAAATTTTTTTTTTTTTGTGTTGTTAATATATTTTTAATCGTTCCTTTTTATTATATATATATATATATATATATATATATATATCATATCATCAAAAAAATGTTACAGTATCTTTTTTTTTTAAAATTATCCCAAATAATATACTATCCGATTACACATGAATTGACAATTCGAGAATTATTTTTAGGTGTACAAATGCACGTTCTACTAATTTATCACAATTCTTACCAAGGCTGATTTTGCAAATGCTGGTTTAACCTAGAACTAAAAGTATCAAGAATCAATAATGCTCTCCCATCCTTTCACAAAAAAAAGAAAGAAACCTCCCTCAATACCTGATTTGGGAATATCTTAAAATAATGAGTTTAGCTAATAAGATAGTTTCCAATGTTAATTTTTGACGCAGTCAGAAACTAATTCGAAAATATATAGGAACAATAAATATAAGTATGTGCATTTACATGCAATAAGTTAGGTATAATTTAGATATAAACACTCGTTACAAGATTTCTTATTTGCAAATTGAAAAGCGTGAGAACTGGCGGCCTCGATTTGGATTAGCTGTTTTTGGGGGTATTTTTGAAAAATTTTACTGTAATAATGTATATAAAAAAATTTTATTTTGAAATATTTGATATATTGTATAGATAAAATATTTTTTGAGTTATCATATATTATTATAATATTATATTTGAAAATTTTATTTTTAAAATAACGGCAAACCCAAACGGAGCTGTCACACTCCTTTGTCCCGCCTTCCTCCCTTCCTCGTGTAACCACGTATGATAAACCGGCATTGAAGCAACCGCGTTCGAAAACAAACAAGATAAACATCGCGTGTGCAAACAGCCATGCCCCAAAGCATAACCAATTCCTTTATGGCAACAATAAATATTTGGTAAAGCTACTTCTGCTACTTTTTTTCTCTCAAATTTCAATCAATCCATTTCCTACCAAGTTGCCGAATCAGGTAATATCTCCTCTCTCTCTCTCTCCTCTTTTTTCACATCCTACATGCATATATTCCTGCTATACATGAAAAATCTTGATTGAATTCAAGCTGTTTGTGATTATACTAGTGCGAGGTGGCTTGGGCTAATTGGAAACGGGTTTCTTACTTTATTGCTTCTTGTGTTTTATTTATTTATTTGGGCTGTCTTTTGTGGGATTGCATGTCCAAGATGGCTGTGTTTCTTTGGAAGGAGGATTATGTCATCTTTGTACATGTTTGCATGTGTGCTAGTAATTAATCACCAAGTCTTGTATAGTCCTGTTCTTATCTATTTGTTGGATTTTTACTTATTTGGTAATAAAGCTGATTGCTTGGTACATGTTTATTATAATTGCTGTGGTGGTTAATTTGTGTTTCAGCAGAAGCTGATTGGTTATTCCAATTGAGTTTTGCTTTCTTCTGTGAGGTTTTGGTTTTTGTATCCTTGCGAGAGAAAAGGAGGAGGGGGGGGGGGGAAGTGTATGGAATTGGCTTTCTTGTTTTGGACGTGTATTTTTTAAGAATCAAGTCCTTTGAGAGTGATTCTTGAGTTTTTGAAGTTGTAACTTGCATGTCCGACAGGAAAGTTTTATATATTTCTTTTGTATTTAAACTTTTTAAAGGAAGGATGGCGATCAGGAAAGAGTGATTCTTGGGCGAAGGAAAGAAGGGGGGGGGGGGGGTGTTTTAAGTTGTTCATTGGAAAGTAAGGTTGGTAGTTTCTCTAATCGTTGATAACTGACAGGCTATCTTTATTTTCTGGTAATGCTCTTTATCGGAGAAAGTCATTAATTTGGATATTGTTTTATTATGTGAAAGACTCTGTTCCCAATATTCTTCAAGGGCTGTACTTGATGATATCAACTAGAATTACTCATAAGTTGGAGTTAGATTTCTAGATATCACGTGAATTTAGGTTTGTATTGTGTAGATTAATATTACAATCTTGATTATCCTAATCAATTATTGTGTAGATTAATATTACAATCTCAATTGTCGCTAATCTATGATGCACAGGATGCATCCTCTGTTCATACAAGGATTTCAAATTCTTATATCTTCATTTTTGCCTGAACTTTTCATGGTGCAAATGTGTAATTTCCTGTCAATAAAGGATCTTCCCTGAATTATTAGGATCAAATGTGTGAGGAAAATTCTTAGAGAATCATATTGCCAATTATTTGTCTTGAAGCAAAATATTCCATTGTATAAGCTTATCTGAGTGCCCTGTCTTTGGCAGTTAGTTTGTGAGTGCGCTTAACAATCCAAGGTTAATAACAATGGGAGACAATGATGATAATCGGGACAAAGGGTTATTTTCACATCTTGCTGGATATGCTGCTGGACACTATCCACGGCCACATGGGGCATACCCTTATCCTCCTCCTCAAGGTGCATATCCTCCTGCAGGTTATCCTCCTCCTGGCGGATATCCACCATCTGGGTATCCTCCTCCTGGTGGATATCCTCCCTCTGGGTATCCTTCTCCAGCTGGATACCCACCGGCACCGCCACCAGGATATCCACCACATGGTGGATATCCTCCTGCTGGTTATCCTGGTCCCTCAGCTCACCATCACTCGGGTAAATATTTTGTGTGTTCTCAGCATTATTGTTAGTGGATGTCATTCTGTATCAAGTGTTGACATGATGCAGTTGCATGTTTGTATGCCTTTTTCAGCCTGTCCTGCTCTCCTAATTGTTTTTATTAGCCACTTTGAAATGCCTTGCTTATCTATCTAATAATATTCTTAATTGGGTACCCTGTTGCTATGCATTCCTTCGTACCTGCCATAGTATGAAATACTATGGGTTAGCATAATTAAATGAACTTTCAAGACATAAATATCCATTTACTCCACAAATTGAGAATGATGTATATTTCTGTGTCAACTTGGTAACATTTTAAGAAGTTATTTCCTCTTGGTTTCTCTACGCACATGGCTGTTAACTTTCACGTCTCGTGAGGCTCACTTCCAAATCCTGAATCATGTGTCCACCACGACCTACTCAGTTCTTGATGAGGAAATTGACATTTTTCTTGCCATTATTGATACTTGGTACCAGTGTAGTAGTATTGCAGCAACCTTACTTATTGTGGCCGATGAGACATCTTTTGGTGGAAATATCATTCTGATTGTTTGTTGCTTCGCTAGGGGTTCCTTTCTCTTGTTCTTTTTCTGTTTTCCCTTTATCTGATTTTTGGACTTTGAGCCTGCCGGAGGGATTCAATGTTTCACTAAAGATGCAAGTTGGATAACACTGAGGACCCGATCTGAAAGGCAGAGATTTGATAGTCTACTTGTGATCATCAATTATTATTCCTCGTGTATGGGCTAGCTGTTGTGGCCCTTTCCCTATTTCCTGATTTGCAAATTATTGTTGCTGTCTAGTATGCTATCAATTTTTAACCTTGCTTTACCAAGTGACACTCCAAAGAGTGCAACTTTCTCGAGTCATTTCATTGATTTCATCTGGCTGGAAACGTCCACTTTATGCAGGGCATGGACCTCCAATGGGTGCATTACTAGCTGGTGGTGCTGCAGCAGCGGCTGCTGCATATGGGGCTCACCATCTGGCACATGGTGCACACCATTCTGGTCATGGTGGATATTATGGTCATCATCATGGGAAGTTTAAGCATGGGAAATTTGGCAAGCATGGATTCTATGGAAGGCACAAGCACGGCTTCTTTGGAAAGCACAAGCACAAGTTCATGGGGTTCAAGAGATGGAAGTGATTGGCGTGTCTTGGGATTTGTTTCTTCCATTCTGTGTTGCTGCTTTCTCCAGGATCACTGTGTTTTATTGGTTTGGTTGAAGAATTTTTTGAATAATTTGGGAACTAAATTCAGCGTGTATATAAATACATAGCTAGATTTCAGCGTGCATTTTTCTCTATATAGTTTAAGATTTTTGTCACTTTGCTGTCACCTAGCTTGTTTATGCAGATTTGGTTTTTGGTACTTACAGATGTTAGTAACACTATCCTTGTGTTAGTATTCCTGATCTCCCTCATGAGAACAATAATAACCAGAGACTTCTTGCCTACTTTACATGTTAGATCAAGTTGCCTAAATCAGGGGTACATGGTTCCTTATTAGCTGTGATTGGATGTTGGCTGCTAACTGCTGTGATTTAGAGGATTTTACATACACTGGTTATCTGTTTTTGTAGGTTCTATTCTCGTTAGGAGGACAAAACAAAAGGCCATTATGTCCTGAGATGTGTGGTTTCTGTTCCACTGAGGGTTAAATGCCCAGTATTTGATCCTTCCCTAACAGATTGGATTAAGCTTTTGATTTTCTCTAAGGATTAGCTAGATTACCTAGCATGAAAAGGCAGATTAACTTGGTTGTTTCAGGCCTCAATCTTGCTTTTTTCTTCAGACAAAAAAAAAAAAAAAAAAGAAGCTTAACAAATCAAGGGGCTAAATTTCAAAGAATACGGGCAAATGTACTAAAAATGTAAAGCTCACTTACCTTGGAAATGACCCCTCTGCTTGGTAAGTAGCAGGCCTTATCTTGTTGACTTGGAGCACATTTATTTCTTCTTCAATTTCAGGGTTGATATTAAGCAGCATTAATGATTCAATATATCAGAGGTCAGGTCACTCTCTCATCTTTAAAGGCCACAGGATCTGCCGCTTTAAGGTTGGGAATTGGGATGTCTTATACTCCCTCCGTCCCGTTTTGTTAGTCTTGGTTTTTTTTTTTCACACAGATTAAGAAAGTGTAATTAATTTGGTTGGAAACATAAATTTAGATTAATAATTTCCTAAAATACCCTTATGCTAATCAATGTAGTCAATGTATTCAATGTATTGGAAAAGCTCAATGTATTCAATGTAGTGGGTTAGTATTTAATAACAATGTATTAATAACAAGATATTTAATAAGGGTATTTTAGACAATTTGAAAGATTACTACATTTCTTAATGGGAAAGTGGACTACAATTTGGGACGGACGAAAAAGGAAAACAAGACTAACAAAATGGGACGAAGGGAGTAGTATCATTCTATCCGACTCTGCATGTGCTGTTGTCTCCTGATGTCAAAAAAGCCTAGGCATTGGGAGAACAAGTCCAATTGAATGGGGACGTGATCAAGTTCATGTTGTTGTTGGGCACTTTTTTTTTTTAAAGCTACTGCTCCCAACTTTCCAGATGAAATTTCTTCCAGGAGTAGCTCATGCAATCAATCCACAAATTTAAAGCAGGAAATGACAGAAGAACTTTCTCTTCTCTTCTTATTCAGTGTCAAATGCAAGAGCAATCTCGACCCCCCTGATAGGAGAATTGTGTAATGGTCCTCATTCCTTGCCCATGTGTGCCTCCCTCATCTGCTTTTTGGCAATTTGGTGATCAGTGTCAAGATCATAAAAGTTGCCTATCCGCATACACTACTAAGCCAAGGGATACTCGAGAAAAAAAGGAACTAATGAAGGAGGTAGATGATAGGTGAACTGAACTCACAAGAATGTGATGTGAAATGGTTTTTCTTTCTTCCAATCCATATCAACCAAGAAAAAATAAAAGAAAAGAATTTTTTGTACCTTCAGGAAAAGGGTAGAAGTGATTTTATGCTTTTGGTTTTAAAAATCTGACTTTGCCTGTCTCTTCTTGGACTTATCTAACATTTTGAATTTCCAGCAATTAATTGTCTCCGGGCCTGAATTTTTCGGAGTCACTCCCACTAAAAAGTCGTCGAAATTAAGGACTTCCCCTATTTAGACCCACATTCCTTGTGGGAAGGAAGAGTCTCAGTCCATGGAGACAGACAAACATGGCAAGTTTGTTGTGGGCCTTTGTGAAAGGACACAAAGATTAGATAGTTTTTCCTTTTTTTGCTTTTCTTTTCTGAAATGACACAAAGATTAGATAGTATATTAGCATGAATTACGCCACGTTTGGAAGGTGAGTTTTTTGAGTGTTTGTCTAAAATTTTACTGTAACTTACTGCAGAAGTTTTTAAAAAAATTTTTGAAGTTTTTTTTTTTTAATATTTTGAAGTGTATAGTTTAAATTTTTTGAAAAGTTTTTTGAGGTTACTGTAACTAAATTTTTTAAAAAAAACTTGTAGCAGACAAACTTGGCAAAAAACTTGGCTTCCAAACAAGGACACTAGTGTGTACACAATCAGCACTAGATAAATGACAATTGTACAAAATTTAATTTTGAAATTCAACTTTTACACACATATCATAAATCTAATAGTGATAATATATACACTGTCAGTCAGTGTGTATAAGATTTACTCGTGCTCAGCTTTGAACTTTGTGATTGTTACAGTTCTTGGCTTATGCTTACAGTACCGCTTTTGCATGCCTTTACATTGATTAGATTACTCCAACAAATGATGAATGTATTGAGCCTTAGACTGTCTCGGATAACCCGTTTTGCATTTTGTGTTTTTTCACCTAACCAGGAGCCAATGAGAAATGCATGTATGTATGTACAGCAGAAAGGTTATGTAGCAATCATGGAGTCTTTCGTGTTTCGTGCACGATCCCACCATCGATCTTTTTTTCTCATGTTGCATGCATATGGTCATTTTTCCTTTTTGTCATCAGTTGTCATTGCGCCATTTGAGATCTTAGGTACTTAGCAAGGTCACCTTTTCACACTTTTGAACCTCATCTGCATTGGTTGCCTCTGGTTTAGGCAAGAGAACAGGTGCCCACAAGAAAATGCAAATCAAGACGATTCTAAGAGGTTCCGAGAGCTCAGAAGAAATCATAACTGGGAAATTGGCAATTCGTGCAAGATTGTGTTATTCTGTTGACATATATGATAATTTCGCAGGAGTGAAAGCATACTTAAGCATGGATTGCAATTTTTTTTTTTAAAGAAAATTTTTACGTTTTTTATGAACACATTTGCCGCTCGCTTTTTTTACCTCATATACATCAAATCGCTACGTTATATTTTTCTGACAAGACATATCCAAAACATAGCAATCCAAACGGGCTATAATTTATTTCACAATGATGTACGGACATATCCTGGCTAGGTAATGCAATATCTGCATTACTATCTCCCCTGTTGTCGATTCTTTCTTGGATTCGGCTTTGCGGTCAAAGAGGAGGAGGTTAGATGATAAAATCCCGGCTGTAATCTTGGCACTGATCATCTAGATGATGATTTTTTTGGACCCCGAGAAGAACAAAACCATGACCAGATGCATTTTCTAAGCATCTAGTAGGAGCCCTGCCCAGCCGTTTTCAGTCCTTATGTTCGTCGTCCCACCTCAATTATCAAACGTAGGATTCAAAAATTAGAACTAATACACAAGACTTTAAGAACCCTCACTCACTCTGACCACTAAGACATGGGCTTTAATTGACTTCTCAAGCCTTGGGTACAAATTTAACTAGAATCTACATTATTTATCGTTTGGACTAAAATTTTGTCAAACAATAAATTTTGTTCACATGCATGTTAAAAGAATGGGATAATATGTACAAAAAAAAAAAATTTTTTTTTGCAAATCACATTCGCTTTCTCAAAAAATGCTTCTGGCACTGCTTAAGTACTGTATTATGAATTGATGGACGAAACTAAACAACACTTCGCTTCTGTACTCACTAGAAGTGCTATCGAGCCGAGTCGAGCTCGAGTAGCACCATACTCGAGCTCGAGCTCGATCAAAATTTGTGCTACTCGAGCTCGATCGAGTAAAAAAATTTGGACTCGAGCTCGACTCGATGAAATAAAACTAAATTTGACCTCGACTCGTTTGAGCTCGAGTAAAATACAAGCCCGAGCTACTCGAGCTCAAGCTCGAGTTTTGAAATAAATCTATAATTTTTTTTAAAATATATAATATATAATATAATATAAATATATAATATAAATAAAATATGAAAACTCGATTAAACTCGACGAGCACTCGAGTATTTATTTTTTGAGCTCGAATTCGACTCGTTCAATTTAACGAGTAGCTCGAGCTCGATTTTACCGAGCTCGAGTCAAGCTTTTAATCAAGCTGCTCGCGAGCGCGTCGCGAGCAGCTTGACTTGCTAGCACCCCTAGTACTCACACCTGCAAGCCTCTTCTTCGTCATCTTTTCTTTGTCCGCATATAACGGCTTGCCAAATATTACGGCAAAGGCATCTCCCCTTAGTTTCTTGTTCAGATGAAATTATTTGAGTTTGTGACGTAGCCTCGTTTGGATTGTGATTGTTTCTGCATTTTTCAATAAAGTCCTGTTTGGAGTTGCGGTGGCTTATTGAAAAATATTTCTCCAATTGAATTTTTAATAAAAGCGCTTATTAAATGTTTAAGTACTTTTAAATATACTGTTTGGAGATGTAGTTTAATAAGTATTTATTGTATTGGATAACGTGTGATTTGAAAATTTTTGAATGCATTTATATCTTTATTTAGTTTATAATATAGGATAAAATAATTATATTTAATATTTTATTTTTTTGAATTGCAAATCTACTTTAAAAGCACCAAATTTGAACTTTTGCTAAAAGTGTTCCAAACACCAAAAATACCACTCCCAATTTTGTGAAATGATATTCACCAAACGTTTTAAAAGTACTTTTAACACCATATATATATATATATATATATATATATATATATATATATATATATATATTTTACCAAAAGCACCGCAATCCGAAATGAGGCCTAACTCATATAAGTCAAATTGTTACAATATAATTTTTTACAAATATTTTTAAAAATGGCAATTCAAATGGGCATACAACAAAGAAAGCTTGTTTAGTGGCGCCCTTTGTCGAAGCTCGGTGATGGCAGTGGCTCTCTATTACTAACATTTAATATTGCTTTTACACAAAAATTGAATTAGATTCTCAGACCCACAATATCAAGGAGCATCTCAGTATGCGTAATCCGAGATATGGAAGGATAAATTTTAAAAAGAAAAAACTTACTTAATAATTCTTGATTATTGAGTTTTATTTTCTTGAGCAAGTATTTAGAGAAAAAAAAAAAAAAAAAGCTTTGAGTTTGAGTAGCAAGTGGCAAGGGTGTTTGGACAATTTCCTGCAAATATCTATTTTCTTTATATCATAAA